TTCAGCTCACTACAGTAGGACTGACTATCTTAACGTTCGTATTGAAGATTTTGACTTTGATTTTGATTGACAGTTGTTTTGAGTACAATTTGTTCTTTAACTGGTGATTGCTTACCTGTCCTATAAATAGTGATATATGAATTAGTTACTCTTTATTAGACGTTCATTAATCTATTGAATAATTCCTTTTGGATTACATATGAATTTGTTTTAATGGATAAGTAAGACAATTGGTCAATAGATATATCATTTTTCTATAACCATTTACAAATAATTATTTGATAAATGGCATTTATCATTTTGGTGTTACTACATGTTGGTACATGTTTCATTGAACGGTCAACATTGTTGTTAAGTGTAGATTATTCCAAAAAAAGGAGTTCAGGTCCAAATTCATTTTATTTCAAAAGGTTTTGGATAATCCAACTTAAAGTGGAGGGAAATGTATTAAACTTTCAGGATTATAAAATCACTTGATAGCTTAAATGTATATAATAAGGTTAAGTTACAGTCTGTATAGTTGCGTACAGGAAAATATTGACTAGAATGCCTTATGTAGCAGTACTTGATAACAATCAAATGTGAATAAAGCAACTGAAAAAGTTTTTCTCTTTTAGAAAATACCGATTTATTTTTAAAACTTATAATATCGGATTAATGTCAGTATGAGGATTTGTGGAGACTGTAGTATTTTCACAGTTGAGTTCACGAGTCGATCTAAGCTAGAACACCATTGAAAACCTGGAAGAATATGGAGTTTTCTATTTATATTCTTTACATGCTAAATAAACTTGTAATATTATTTATTCAGTTATAATTGATATGTAGAAATGATTTATAAACCATTGTAGTACTGGAAACTTTACTATAATCACAAATACTTTGATTAATGTGTTGATATATTCTGATTTCTAATGAGCTAAGCATCTATTTGTATTTAGATAAAACAAATAAAGCTAGTTTCAAAAGTGAAATTTTCCACAGTATTACGTGTGTGTTTTAAAAGTCATTAATACTGATATAATCTACTTGATATCGCTTTTTTGATCATCTCTGGTTTCTATTTATATTACACTGATGTCTATTTCAATCTTTTTTGGCAAACAGAGAACTAAAAGAGTAACAGAGAGTAATTTACTTATAAAAGGTTGTGTGAATCTTATAGTTGGTGTCAAAGACTCCAATTAATCATTTGAGAAGATTCAAACGACTATTGAAAATTACTTGTAAGTCACCTTATAGCGCAAGCCTCTGGCTATCTGGTCTTAGTAACGTAATGTATAACGCAATGGGCATTTAAAGCAAAAAGTGTTAGGTTCTGCTTTCACTGTGACTATCAACATTAAGGTGCCAGTGTTGGTGCTAGTCCCAAATAAGACAAAATGATTGTCCTGAATTCCACTGCTAGACACTAACCCACTGTAAACAGTAGTACAAAATAATTGTACTTGTATTCAATATTCATATATTTAATGTATTTTACTGATGACTATTAGTGATAGCGTCAGAAAGTATACGAAAGTTTATTGACTTTCACCTATAAGTCTCATCATTTTCATTTAGATAATGAAAGTCCTTGATTTTCTTCAATTGTAAACATTCTACCAAATTCTAATCTTTTGAATTCCTCATGTCCCTATCCTTTTTCTCTTTCCAAATTTATTTCACTGTATTATACTCCTTCAATAACATCTTAAAACCCTAATCTTTCACATAATACTTATACTCTTACTACTTCTACCACTATGGTATTTGAATGAACAACTGCATCACTGTGCTAATGTGGTATGGCAACTCGAACTGATGTACGTACGTGCGAAATTCTACGTTGTGACTGACTGACTGAAACATTCTTATAATTAGTACAATTAGTTTTATATTATTTCCTCTATGTTTTAATTTGTTGATTGTTTTTTTCTTTTGATGACCCAATTAGTCAGTTTGTTTATATCAAATAAATTCCAGAACAAATAATAATTAGCAATACTCTGTACCGTTGTTTGTATAATATGAAGTATCTTTTGTATTCGCTTTTTAGGTCATTTCCAGCATTCAGTACATGTTTATAACTTGTTTGATAAAAAAATGTGAACATTTCATAAGTGTACACAAATTATAAAACATGCATTTATAGTTTTAATGATAAAAGTATTGTTTAGTTATTCATATATGTATCTATGCTAATATTGATCTGTTACTAAGTATGTATCTCCGTCACGGTTAACCATTTTAATAAAAATAGTGAATACCCTCTTTTTGTTATATTAATCTTTCTACTAATATCTAATCGAATATGTCGATAAAAATCAGGTATATAATAACGATCATTATTATTATTATTATTATTACTATCAGTCATAAATTAGTTCGGATATTGCTCTCTAATCATTAAATTCTATTGATTGGTTGTTCAAAGTTTCAATGGTGGTAGTAGTAGTTGTTGTTGTTTTTATTCAATAGTAGTATTCACTATGTTCAGTATTATGTGTTTGATGATGATGATATGAACAAAAAAAATTGTCTAACTGAAATATACACCATTGAAACAATATTGTGTTCCTTGTATCCAGTTAACTTGTTAATATTCAGTATTATATAGCAACCACTCTTCGATAGAAGGCTTAGAAAGGTTTAAATTGAATTTTGCAGTTAGTAATTCACCTCATTGTAAACATTTTATGAAAAGCTTGAGAATATATATCGGTTAACATCCATGATTGTTTATTTAAAACAAATCTTAAATAACGAACTTAACTGTGATGTTTAAACTATTGCACAATATGTGAATTAAGAGTTTGACCAGGTCATCATTATATATACTGGACAATATACACGAAAATAAAAGTAGGCTTAATTAGCGAATCATAGAATATCCGATGAAATCCACTAAAAAACCACGACTATTTATATTATAACCTGAATAGTGTAATGCTGATAGGTTGATGTAGTGATTTTCTGTGGTTGAAGATAGTCAGTAGAGATTTCTTGTAACACGTTTAATGTTGCGTTGATATTCGTCAGCAAGGCATACATGAAGTCTAGAGGAAACTAAGGCTTCCTGAGGGGTTTAAACCTCCACCGCTCATCTTCACAGTTAGAGACGTCACTAAATTATCCGAGCTGTTATTCACCTCCAGTATAACTGAGATATTTACATTTGATCGCCTACTAATAAGTTATCCGTTTTGACACATGGTGTCCAAGTATTGGTACTAGTACACGCCCTTTTACACGCTAACCAAGATACTGGAGATAAAATATGTAGAGTAAGGAAGAGAGTTTATCTGACTAAATCGAATCACATGTATATGTACTCAGCTGTATATGTAATGTCTCATGGTAAATTCGGCTTATCAGTGTTCTATGTCTCATCCTCTGAAAATGAAAGCTATTTCTTGACCAATCACATGGACTTGATATTATTTCGTTACTATTCTGTACTACATTTTGATAAGTCTCCTTTGGCATTTTTTGCATGCTGAGTGAATTTTTGTCATTTTTGTGATATTTTGTCACAAGGTTTATGGTAGATAGATTCTGGTTAATAGTTGAATCTAGGGCAGACACCTCGTCCTAATCTATAATCACCTGGATAAGTCGGGAATTATGTGGATTTAGTAACTTGCAACAAAAAAGTACTAAGTTCGAGTCTTAATATGAACATCAGTACTGCGATACATTAACATCCAATTAACGAATCTCACAGAACGAAACGTGGGTTCTGGATTTCTCTACTAACTACAACCCATTTATTCTGAAAACTATTTCTGTTGAAGGATTGGTTTATTCATGGTTCAATCTTTTTTGAACTGAATTATTGATTTTTTTTTCATGTAAAATTTATCATGACCTACTATTGTTGTACATGATTTTGAAGTTGCTAATTTTCAAGTTTAACACTTATACACTGAACTGTTGAACTATTAATACTGTCCTTATAAATAATCGAGTTCAGTTAATTGTTAATTATACCATAAAAACTTATTCAGTTTCTTGTTATGATAGTCGTTATTGCATAATAAGTCAGTCAGTCAGTCAGCGACAACGTAGGACAAGGCACATATATGCATCGGGCCACGTTGCCATTCCTCGTTAGCACAACAAGATCAACACCGGATTCATAGAAGTAATTTAGTGGTGGTAGTATATAGAGAAAGGTTGTATAGAAGGATATAGTATAGGAAGTAAGAAAGTTATGAAGCAATTTTAATCTCAAGGTTTAAGGGAAGATAAAGAGTGTATACACCTACGCCATTATTATCGATTCTGAGCCATGTCACCTATAGTTTCCAACCATTGGTTAATTCAGTTACGCGGACCCCAACCAGGTAGTCTGCATCTGCTAACATGGCTCAGACTTGAAGTCAATGACTTCAAGCTCTGATGCCACGTTTTGGTTTGGCCGCCCCTAACTCTCTTCCAACCATCCCCTACACTAGTCAACATTGCGTGTCGTGGTAATCGGTGTTCAGGCATACGTAACACGTGGCCCAACCATCTCAGTCGATGAAGATTCATGACCTCATCAACTGATTTACCATCATTCCCTAATACCCTGCATCTAACCTCACGATTACTTACCCGGTTATCCCAGCAGATGCGAGCAATATTTCTAAGGCATAATAAATATATTATTATATTATTGCATAATAAATATATTATTTGAAATATAAATTTCAACTTTGAAATATAAATGTTGATATTATGAGTCAATTGAAGCTAGACCACTATGGAAAACCTGGAAGCACTGGACGGCCGTGGTGGTCTAGCTTCAATTGACTCAACCATATAAAATTACTAAAATATCCATAAAACCCCCTTCTGAAATATAAATATTGATAATAGGAGCAATTTTATTGACAACTGATTTATTCGTTCATTTTGAACTGCTCTATTATCAGTTCATAATTAAGTATTTTCTTTTGCCAAAATAACTTTGATAGATTATTAATTTAACATAACAACGGTTTTTATTTTTGACTTATTTTCTGTGAATTCAGCTCATCTCAAAGAAGCATTAGAAGAATATATGGGAATGTTAAATATTGTCAAAATTGTTCGTACCAAACAACGTGAAGGATTGATTAGAGCAAGAATGATTGGAGCAGAACATAGTACTGGGAAAGTGCTCGTATTTCTAGATTCGCACATTGAATGTACCACAGGTGAGCTTGGTAATGCATTAACATTACCTCATTGTACAAGTGTTTCATGATAATATTGTATTTTTTACGGAATGTAAATATGAATTTTTTTGAGTGAAAACCTATTTTATAACGAATAAAGATTAGGAGGTCAAACTTGCTCCACTCGATCACACCAGGTTAAACAACTATTAATTATTCATCTCCTTCATTCTATATAATTCATTGAATTATTGTTATTTAGAAATTATATTGTATTTTGTGTAATCATTTTGCCAATTATTTCATTTAATGAACATTAACTAGGTTCATTACCTGATGTGATATTTGGTCTTTATTTCAAATGTTGGTGACGTATGAATATCTGAATTATGTTTCATTAATTTATGCAACCTATTGACTTTCGAAATCTAAAAGAAGAGATTGAGAGTTCTTACTGATGGTATCTACTAGATCTCTCAAACATTGCTGCATATTGCACTATATCGATTTTACTTCAGGTGAATATGGAATCTGTGGTTATTTATACTTCAACATTGAGACAATATTCACCTTTCAGTTTATGAAGTACAACTAAGCACAATACAATGCTGTTCACACTGACGTCATCTTATGAGTTATAAGTTGAACGTGACAAAAATACACTGTTTGAATAAAACTGTTCACTGACAACGTGAAATCGTGTAATAATGACGAGTGACACATTGGTATTAATAGTATCCTTCTAAACTGTAGTTCATTCATCTTAAACCCACTGGTTGCAATGTATAAGTGACATTTTGCATAAAACTGTGCATTTTATTGTTGATTATTTGTTTTTCATCTACAATCGTACAACGTTCAACTTCATTGAATATTTAACGGTTCATACTTGTTTTTGTTTGTTTTCTAGGTTGGCTTGAACCCCTTTTAGATCGTATTGCTTACAATTCGTCAATTGTTGTTGTTCCCGTAATATCGACTATAAATGATAAAACGTTGAAAATGAATTTTCTTAAGGCAGATAATGTTCAAGTTGGTGGATTTGATTGGAGTTTAACATTCCGATGGCATGAACAAACTGAACGAGACAGAAATCGACCCGGTGCACCATATTCACCTATTAGGTAAATAATACAGATTTCATTTTGTGATTTAACCAAATTTAATCTGCATTATGTAATATGAATAATAACAATAAAATTATTAAATTAGTAACGGATTATAATATGAATTTTATAAGATGAGTAAAATGCTTTGTTACAATAACTAAAGGTAATTATAGGGGTATGGCAACTCGAACTGATGTACGTACGTACGAAGTTCTACGTTGTGACTGGCTGACTGACTAAAAGGTAATAGAGGTGCAAAATTAAATGAAGTGACGTAGGGAAGAATTATCGATAAATCGTGAGAATATTTTGCACATCTGCTATCTTTAATTATTGTAGAAGAACATTTTAATTATCTAACTGCATTTAAGCTATAATTCATTCGCGTTCGCGCGCACGACCGAAGGTCTTGGGTTCGAGTCCCGTGTCAGGTCCCATGCTAGGACGATGGTGTTCTAGCTTCGGTCGACTCGTGAATTCAACTATTAAAAATTCTATTGTTATTATTCACATTACGTAATGTAATATGATAATCTTTCGATAGCATCATCATGTTCATTCCTTGTTCACATGTCTTCATGGAACTAGCACTTTAACGTAAAAAAATTTCATATAAATTTAATTTGTTCAAAAACTACTGACATCAATCTTTTCATGCTTTTACTTAAGTTTTCTTCGTAAAGATTGTTTCTCTTTTTTTTGAAATCCAGTGGAAATCTGTTGGTATGCGAATGTATTCATCAAAAAAGCAGTTAGACTGGTCTATTTTCTGTATTTTAGGTTTTTTTGATGCAACTGGTTAATGATAGTTATACAGTATAGAGTTGATTTGATCGTTAAACATTATGTATGAACAAGTGCTAGACGAAACGTTGGAATCATTTAAATTTCAATAGCCGAGATTATTTCAAATATAATTTTCACATATAACGATAATTATTGTTATTGATATTACAGACTACTAATCAAAAAATGAGGCCGATGGTGTTTGTTTTGACGCATAGATTCGCACGCCTCAGGAATCCTGTTCTCGCACGTGGCAGGCATCCAGTACATCCAAGTTTTCAGTGGTGATCTGGCTAATATCAGGATGTGATTTAAAAACTACGAAACTTCTATAATCTTGACATATCCCTAATATTATTAAAAATGATTCTGTCTGAAATAACTCTCCACACAAATAACTTCCTGAGTGTTTGGAACTAGTAGGGAACCCCCCTTTTTTACAATCAGTGACATCTCTATGATTTCTCTGATACATGCTTTTTATCTATCAAACTGCAATAGTTACATCTTGACAAAACTACAATTCATCGAATTCAAAGTTTTAAAACCTTTAAGTAAATTAGATTTCCAGAACGAATTCTGAACAGTTTTAAGTAGTAGGGTTAAAAAACACATTATAAACATCTGGCTTTTCCTAATGTGGATTTTCCATCGAATAATTTTCCTACCTCATGTTATTGTCTCTTCTGTAATTACTTGACTGTAAGACTTGACAACTTTAAGCTAATTAGAGAACGGTAATTGAGCAATTCCTCAATAGACTTGAAGAAACAAGACAGAAAATATGGCTTCGAGATGAGTACGTAAACCATTGCTCCGCAAACAGATCGTTATTTATAAATTTAATGAATTAGCTACATATTACATTGTTTTTACTTGTCTTTATAATGTTTACTGTAAGAGCATGAGCCAATGAATACTCAGTATTTCTATTGATTAAGTAATCATTCACATTATTTAATTGCCTTTATTGACTGAATGTTGTTTTTTTTACATTAATCTCTTTGATATATTATATTTTCCTGGCCGTCCTGCCACTTTGACGTGGTGGTTGGGCTTGCCTATCATGATGAACTAATCGAGCTATACTGGCTGGAACAATCGTTCTTCAACGTCCTACCATGCTAGACAGGTCGGTTGAAGAGCTGTAAGACTAAAAGCAGCAAACTCAAGGTCCGAAGGCAAAGCCTTACTGCTGAATGTACAAAGGTGTGACGGCAGTAAGGTGTTCTTTTCAGACAACCAGCATAACAGCGATGATGCCTTCCCACAAGGAGGAGTGAGATTAGAAAAAGTCGACCCTAAAAATTCTTATTGTTCCTTCTACCTTGACTTTCAACACTAAACTTACTCTTTCAGATTCCTTCTCAAGTGTCACTATGATCCACGATTCTAGTGAGCAAAACACTGTCCCAGGTCTACTGAAACCTCGCTGAAAACAACACATTGGAGCCTTCAACGTTCCCCCCCATATGTCAAACCGGTCAATAGGCCTCCTAGGCCAACACCCTAGAATCTCGTACGATTGATGTATGCTGTGTCTCCGAAACACGCATACAGGATCCCAGTGTGGTCATTCACTTGACCTCACCTCGCCAAAATGGACAGCCGACGAAATACACCCTCCGTGTATCTGGCGACCCGATGGCTAGTTCTCGTGGACTTGCAGGTGTAGACATAGCACTTAGTACGAGGGCAGAACAAGCACTATTAGAGTGGATCCCCGTTAACAGTCGTCTATGTGCTGTTCAACTAAATGGCTTCGTAAGAACTCCGAAGGTTATGGACACACGTCGTTGCCTTTTCGTCGTTTCTGCCTACGCTCCCACTGACTGCAGCCATGATGAAGTAAAAGATGACTTTTACAGAAAACTCTGAGCTTCTTCAGAAAGCTAAGCGGTCAGACATAATGCTCGTAGCGGGTGACTTTAACGCCTAAGTAGGTAGCTTAAACCAAACAGAAAGACATTTTGGTGGGTATTTTAGTATCCCAAGTAAGCGAATAGATAATGGTGATCGTCTGTTGCAACTGTGTTCAGACAATCGTTTGTTTTTAGCAAGCACTAATTTTAAGCATAAGGAGGGACCTCGTCTAACATGGCGACCACATGCACCTAACCAAGGTTGGACTGGGAGTTAGACGTAATCCCATCTGACTGGTCACAACCACTGATTGTTCCAATATATAATGAGGGGTGAAAATCATCTTATGATAACCATAGAGGGATTAGTTTGACTAATATAGCATCTAAAATACTAGCCTCTATAATTATTGGGCGCCTGACTAAGACTCGTGAACTGTAAACACGAGAAAATCAGGTTGGCTTCAGACCTGGTCGTGGCTGTATCGAACACATATTCACTATTCGTCAGGTTTTAGAACACAGGCATACTTATCAGCTTCAGAGAATGATAGTTTTTCTTGACTTGAAAGCAGCATTTGGCTGTGTAGACTGAGAGGTTCTGTGGCAGTGTCTGTCATTGAAAGGTGTACGGCGGAAGTTTATAAGCCTTGTGAAGAATCTTTACTCGAACGAGTAAGAGGTTATGCGATCTGTTGGCTGATTTTAAAACCTCAGCTGGTGTCCGACAAGGCTGTCTACTATCCCTATTTTTGTTCATTTTCATCATCGACCTACTGCTGGAAATAAATTTCTCGTCGACTGAATTTTCAGAAATTGATCTCCTACCAGGAGGTCCACTCATCGACTTAGAATACGCTGATAAAATGCAGAGTCTTCTGTTAGCCCTGAGTAACAATGCCAGGATGTTTGGGATGCATTTCTTCCCCTCTAAATGTAAACTATTGCTCCAGGACTGGTCTGCGTGTCGAGAACTTCACTTATCTTGGTAGTCTGATCAGCCCAAATGTTTTGGTTTCTGACGAAATCTCTGCACGGATTCAGAAAGCTCGTTTGGCTTTTGACAACCTACCTCGCCTATGGCGAAGTGAAGATATCCGTCAATTAAGGGGTGATTTGACTTTGCGGCAGTTCGTTCTGTTCTACTTTACGGTTGCGAAACGTGGCCATTAAGAGCAGAATATTCTCGTAAGCTACCAGTATTTGACCACAGATGTCTTAGAAATATTACTTGCATCTGCTGGGATAACCGGTTAAGTAATAGTGAGGTTAGATGCAGGGTATTAGGAAATGATATTAAATCAGTTGATGAGGTTGTAAATCTACATCGACTGAGGTGGCTGGGCCACGTGTTACGTATGCCCGAACGTCGATTACTACGACGCGCAATACTGACTAGTTTTGGGGATGTTTGAAAGTTAAGGGCGTCCATACCAAACGTGGCACGAGTCCATAAAGTCATAGACTTCTAGTCTGAGCTATGTTGAAGATGCAAACTACCTGGTTGGGGTCCACGTGACTAACATAACCAATGGTTGGAGACTCCGGGTGACATGGTTTAGAATTGATCATAATGACTTATTTGTATACAGTCTTTGTGTTCCCTTAAACCGTGAGATTAAAATCGCTTTATATATTTCTTCCTACGAACTACTTCTTTCTTCCTGTACTATATCCTTATACACAATCCTTCCTTTATTAGTAATACCATTGGAGAGACTACTTCTATGAATTCGGTGTTCATCTTGTTGTGTTAATGAGTTATTACATCTTGGAACGATGCATGTATGTGCCTAGTCCAACATTGTTGCTGAATAACTGTCTGACTGTTCTTCGTTTACGTTGCATGATATAACAGTGTGTGTTTATATTTATATAGTTTTTCCATATGTTATTGACACGTGCGACCAATCAGCCATTGATATAAAGAATATGTTCACTCTATCGGTCATTATTTGGCTCCATTTTTAATGGAGAACACACTATTGGTACATCGCTTGGTTGGATTTCTTATGATTTAAAAATATATATTCATTAATAAGTGTACATTAGTTTTTGATTCGGTTCCTTCTCATACATGTTCCTGGTCCGTATCCGTTTATAGAAAGTTTATGCTATGAATATTAGACTCGTAAGACGCACAGTAACAGTAATTTCATTTTAACACTCTATAGGGAATGTTACTGATCTTTGTTTGTTATCCATTTACATTGCCTTATTTATTCTGTTCACTACATCTAAACTTTTTTATATCAGACATAGTTTCCATATCAAGAGTCTTGGTGTTTTCTTGTTCATTCATCATATTATAATAACTACTTAGAAATGATAACTATGATGTTTACTTATTGACTTGATTGTTTGTCATTTTTTGTGATTACAAAGTTGATGTACTCCCAACTTAGTTCTCAAAGCTGAATCCGAAAAGACAGACTTTTTTTTTGATGAAGGTAAGTCAGTATACTGAGGCAATCAGACAATATGCCAAATAACTTGTAAAAGATACTGACGCGTGCATGAACCATGTAAGCTTAAGTCTATATATAATAGCAGCAACCAAAAAATCAAGCAACCCATTTAAGTAGATTAAAATGATGACATGAAAATTCCCCCCCTCAAGTCACTTCGAAAATGGTGTTTGAGGTCATGTGATCCTTGACTTAATCTCTTTATGAGTTTCATTTCTATCCAATTAAAAGTTTTATAATTAAATTATGATTTAAGCGATACAAAAATGCTTCAACAATCAATGTTCTTCTTTGAAAACCTAGATCAGTTGAACACCAAATGCATTCAAGTCATATTTTGTCAAATAAACCACTGTGTACAAGAATGATTTGAAATTTTTGATATTTACACTTTGGTTCACTATCGTATTATCATGACTACAATAAATGTAACCATAATGCATACTCACTGAATTGATTATTAGTTATAAGATTTATTTAGAAAGGTCTACTTTGACTTTCACTGGTAATCATTATTTATTGAATTGGTAATATCTGTGCTCTATTGCTTATAACGAGTATTTCTATAGAGGTTCTAAATTGTAAGACACCAAATAATAATAATAATTATATACGTTATTCAATATTGATTTATCTACGTGTTCATAATTTGATTTACATTTAATGGTCTTTTAACCATATCATGGGTTTTAAATGTTCATACTCCTGTATAGAAGTGATCTAATAATACAAAAGGACTACTTCAACTATTAGATTACATTATCACAATGGGGTTTTGTGGAGATTTTAGTAATTTAATATAGTTGAGATCATGGGTCATTTGAAGCTAGACCACCATGGAAAACCTGGAAGCACTGGACGGCCACTTCGTCCTACTGTGGGGCTCCTCAACAGTGCGCATTCACGATTCCACCTCGTGAGATTCGAACCCAGGACGTACCAGTCTCGCGCCAGAATACTTAACCGATAGACCATTGAGCTGGTGTCCAGCGTTGGTAATGTCTAACCTCAATAAATCCACATATACATACATAATTGATCCTTAAAACATCTAAGATTTTTATTATCGAAGAAGCTTTACATTATATAGACTGTATAATTTAAACTTGATTATCGAAACCTGTATTTTATAAATAAGTAACATAATCTATAGTAGTATTTCTAATTTTTTTAAGAAATTCTATTTAGTATTTTATAATGTCAACCCATAGTTTCATTAAACATCAAAACACAGGCTTGAATTTGTGTTGTTTTAGTATTACAAATGAGTTTATTTGGTATTTGTAATATGATAGTTGTTTGTTATCTACACTTTATTATTACTATTATTATAGAGTATAAACTAGTATACTCTCATCAATACTCATTTTGACATAACATTCTTTTGAATACATAGATCTATATTTATATGAGATCATTTGTAGTTTACTTTAATGCTTAATAGGCCTTTCGAAATAATCTGAGTGTTATTATTATAATCACTATTTGTTTTACTGAAATGAAATACTTCTTATGTAAACATAATATGAATACTCAATTGATTTGATTATAGTTAATACTAATGATTACATTGTCAAGTTACAATTAATAAATGTATTATTAGAAGGAATTTTGTGGAGATTTCAGTATTTTCATAGTTGAAGGCATGAGTCAATTAAAGCTAGACAACCATGGAAAACCTGGAAGCACTGGACGGCCATTTCGTCCTAGTATGGGACTCCTCAACAGTGCTCATCCACGATCCACGATAAGAACTCACTGAAGACAATTGGTGAACGATTGCTCAACTTCGTGGATTGGTTGAAGTTAGACATTAACACCATCGGATGCCAGCTCAGTGGTCTATCGGCTAAGTGTTCTGGTAGGTCCTGGGTTCGGATCTTGCGAGTGCGAGATCGTGGGTGCGCACTGCTGAGGAGTCCTATACTTGGACGAAACGGCCGTTTGGTGCTTCCAGGTTTTCCAGTGTGATCTAGCTTCAATTGACTCATGCTTTCAACTATGACTATATTTTAAATTATTATCTTATTTACTGTAGTAATGTTTATGCTCATTCCTATGTTGTAAAATATTTGGGAAGTCTATGAAAATAATTCTATTACATATCATACTTTCGTTATATTATTACCTTTCTTGTTGTAATAGTTGTAGCAATTAAACATGCAAATGACAATTGTTCTCAAGAATTTGGCTTATAAACGGTTTCAAATTCGTTCGTGTGTGTGTGTATGTGGAGGAAGATTTCCTTTCATGTTGATTAATTGAAATGATATGTTTATTCTACTCATTCTCAAAAAAATCTTTTGATATGATTTCATTCATTACTAATTTGTTTAGGGTTTTATTCTTCTTACTCAGTATTAGAGTTTTATATGATAACAACAGTAACATTTATTGATAGTCTACATTAATTGTATACATTCACACACACATACCTACTACAATAAATACTATTTGTTGCATTTTTCTTTTAAAATGTAATATTTTTTAACAGTTGAATTGACGTGTCGATCTGATCTAGATCACCATCGGAAAGCTAGAAACGGTGGAATACCGTCCCGTTCTAGTTTGGGACTCCTCGGTATTGCGAATACGAGATCCTGCACATGAGACCCGAACACAGGACCTTCTGTCTTGCGCATGAATGCTTAACCTTTAAAGGACCGAGCCGTCTGACATCCAGTGGTTTTAATGTCCAACTTCAATCCATCTCTGATCTTGCGCAACCCTTCATATATTGTTTGTGGTAGATAGCTTTCTCACACGAGACACCGATTGGACTCTACTGGTCACGACTTCTCACTAGAATTCCAGGAAATCCATCTTGAAGTTAGTCACTAGCGAGTAGATGATTATTATTAGAATGAGGATTTGTGGAGTTTAGATCGACTCGTCCATTCAACGGTTACATTACTACATTCTACACAAATCCCTGTACTAATATCTATTTATCATGATTAGTAATCTTTTTTCAGTTGCATGAAAGTGAATATAATCACAATGAATTTCCATTTCAGTTATTAATTATCTGTTATACAATCTAAAACATATTTATAATTAACCTAAATGGATAACGATTATTTCTATAAATTACTAAATCTTCCCATATTATAGTACTAATTCTATTAACTGTTGAAGATCATTGTGTTTATATGAATATCTACATGTGTACGTGTGTATTAAAGATAGTGAAATACTGCAACTGATATTCTACAGATAAAATACGTAATCATATTGGTTCTTGAATGTTTCAATGATAATTTACATTACAAACTGTAACCATTTCGTGAACCATTAGGCACATCTACAATCATTCATAAACCAAAGACATTTATTTCTCATAGTGAGTTTGATACTCCTAGTTCTATAAGTCAGCGTATAATAGTCATTTTGTCACAAAGCGTAAACCTCATCCAATAACCTTGGTGATTTTTTGACTTACTTTAAATTAAACTGACTACGCAAGTCATGAGTTGATCTTGTTGACTAGTGATAAGAATTTTGTCCAATATTTCCTTTGGTTTAGACTGAACAAATCTCTTTTAAAACACTTAGATAAGTGCATAAGAATTTACTGACATTACTGAAGTCATAAGAAACTAGTGAATACTGGTCTTGTATTCATTAATTTTCACTATTTGGCATGTTTTTATTCTTCAGATCACCTACCATGGCTGGTGGTTTATTCGCTATAAGTCGTGAGTATTTTAGTCATCTTGGAAAGTATGATTCTGGTATGGAAATATGGGGAGGTGAAAATTTGGAACTGTCATTCAAAGTAAGCAAAAATGTATATACCTACTTGCATTTTTCTAACTCAAAATGAAAATTCCGTATTCTTGTTCTTTCAATTTGTCTTTTGTATGTTTGTCCAGTCAGTTGAGACCTAGATTTACTTCTGTCTTACTCCCTTTAATGTACCTCATGTATTTTAAATGGACAGCAAGATTTCAGAGAAATTTAAAAAGTTTTTAGTATGGTTGTTTTGCTATCGTTCTCACGATAAATATAGTAATGGTAATGATAACGATTTTGATGCTTTATTCTGACTAGTCAATGATGCCTTAAAATTACTCAAGATGTTGCAGAATCTCACTTCACTTATGTTCATGTAAATGCTACATCTTGTTGTTGCTTCATCCTTACTGTAACTGCTGCTTGGATATTGAAATGGCGGATATTTGTAGTTCAGGTGGATAATTTTTCAAGCTTTGTGTACTTTGGGAGATTCATGTCGTTGATGAGAAGCAGGGATATAACTGTCAAGCTTGTCTGTTGCAGTAATCCAATAGATTTATGACTGTAAGAATCATTCGTTTCTCAAGTTTTCAAAGTACTATGTATGTCTGTCGATAGCTTCTGGACTAGAATGAGCAATCTTAAGATGTTAGGGTTATGTCGTACACCTGACTGTAATGGTGAGTGACAATAATGTTTTTCTCTTGGAAAACTCTATAAATACCATCACACTGTCGCTGGTGGTAATGCCTAAGAAATACTAATTTGATCCACCGAAAATTCACAGAAAAACAATGTATGACAAGCTTTACGCAGTTGTACTTCAGCCTCTACGGCCACATTCAAGTAGTTGAAATTATTACTAACCCAGTTTTCATTCTCTGTACCTCAAGCAGAAATATTATTACACCGTATGACCAACCAAGAAGTGACAACTGCCCTCAGATTTCTACCTCGAGATATCCTAGGAAAATTCGAATACTGTCTCCAATTTCTACATGTTTTGATAAGTGATCCACCAATGGGAAAGGTGATATGTAAACCAGAGTTCGTTCGATAATTATTTTTACACGTTTATGTGATGGAATGAAAGACGATAAGTTTTGTAGACAGCACTAAAATCATAATTTAAGATGAAAGTTTTAATATAAGATCATCTCTACTTTTTCAAATCTAATAAGGAGTAAGCATCTGCATCGTTATGGCCCACTAGTATTTCATCGCTAATCTATACACCAATCTCGAAAATATAACACATCTGAAATCGGTATTGGAATTATAGTAATTATGGTTGCATTGATTTCCCTCTCGGGGGAAATACCTAACAATAAGTCACAGTTTCTTACATTTGAAAACTAATAACATTTCTGCAAATTCCCAAACCGAAGCCAGTGAAGCATAGTTCGAACTCGAGAAGTGTTTGCATCGAGTAAAGTCTGATAACCATTAGTCTGCCGTCTGACTGAAACATTCAACCAGATATTAGCTTTTTCCAAAATACAATCTATATTTATCAGTAGTGTATTCGAATTTCCTGAGGTAAATCAAAATACACACGGTAATTATTTGAATATTATCCGTACAATTCATGTATTTGCCTGAACTACATATTTTCCATTTACGTGTAATGGCAGTCACAATTTAATTTGATATTTGTATGCATATTTATGTAGGCGGTTGACTGTATTATTTCGTCTTGATTGGTATTTCCGTTCTCCCTGATTTATACTTGGACAGCTTAATCTAGATAATTGAGCGAAGCAAACAACAGTATATAGTTTGTCAAATTTAATAGCCTATTGTCGACTATTTTGTTTCATTTTCAACATGATTTTACTACAATTATGCAGATTCATTCGTTGGATATGAGCAGTTGGATTATGTTTCAAGTAGAGTGACTCCATAGTGATTTGAAAACAATAATGAAATGATAGCCATGAAAACAGTTACTAAAATGTCAAATCGAACTAGTTAACATTCGAGTGATGTTGTAGTGTTGCTTATAGCATATTATAGAATACTATTACTGTTTAAGGGTTACAACTGTGAGATCGATTTACAAACTTTCATACAAAATAACCATCTCAAAACAGATAAAATAAACTGTGTTTGATATCTCATTTATTCTACCTTGGGTGATTTAACCTAATAGCTTGATTGTTTACTTTTACAGTAACTAGCATTGTATATTTAGAATGCTAATTACTTATTTACTTTCGCCTGTTACTCCTTTTGGAGGAGTGTAGGCCGTGAACCAGCATTCTCCATCGAACTCTGTCCTGGACATTTCTTTCTAGTTGATATTCATCCTTTTAATGTCTGGTTCCAATTCTCAACTCAGTTTGTTCTTTGGTCTTACTGTTTTCCGTTTTTCCTCAGGATTATGAGTTAGCGTTTGCTTCGTGATGCAGTTTGATGATTTACGTAGTACATGTCCTATCCATTTTCAACGTCTTTTACTAATTTCCTCTTCCTTCAGTTGGAAGATGGTTTGTTCTCTCCCATAGTAAGTTATTACGGATGATATCCAGTCAACGGACATTGAGTATCTTGTGTAGACAATTGTTGATAAATACTTGTACAGTTTTGATTATGGTTGCGTTAGTTCTCCAAATTTGACCTCCATACCGTATGATTGACTGTTTTGAAGTACTTATTGCAGATTGTGACTTTGATTTTGATTGACAGTTGTTTTGAGTACAATTTGTTCTTTAACTGGTGATTGCTTACCTGTCCTATAAATAGTGATATATGAATTAGTTACTCTTTATTAGACGTTCATTAATGTACTAAATAATTTCAACACACATTCTTTATGATAATGTATCTTGCGGCTCAAAACCTTTTAACACGTTGAAATTACTGCTTCTTTGATTCCTTTCCAATTTTCCTTTATAGTAATTTTTCTTCTGTGGGTAGATCTAGGGAGATACAGAACATGTTGTTGAAAGTTATCTCGAATTCGTTGAGTTTTTCAGTTTGTCGAAGGGAGACTGTACTGAACGTTCGTAACGCTGTTTCTCCAGTTTTTCAATGCTTCTTTAGCTTCCGTTTCATCTTGGCCACAACCATATGCTGATCTGAAGCTATGTCAGCTCTTCTCTTTGTTCTCATATCTTCCATTGACCTTGTGAATGTTTTGGTGATGCAACTATGATCAATGTGATTCTCTGACTTACTTGAAATATGTGAGGTTGTCTTCTATGAAAATGCCACTTAGCTATGGTGCAGCGCACTCAGTCATCACGAAAGAAAATTACAACGTGGAAAAATTCATACCTCCTACTATTTTTAGAAATTATTTCAAAATATCTACAATTGTGTGACTAAATAAGTGAAAATACCTAATTACTATTTACGATACCCTTATGTGATCTGATAACGTGAAATTCACTAATGACCGCGATTAAACGTTGTTCTTGATAATTGTGATCCTTTTCACAGTTTCAAATCGTTGTGGTGCTTCATTACTGATCGAATGTGTACAGGATAGCTGTTAAATAAACGCTTATTCAAACAATCGGTTAACCCTATGAAACATCAATAACTGACTTTCTCGTTATGGTTTATAGTATATTCTACTAAGCGTTTTTGTATTCGTAGATTCAAAATATCTTTTCCTACGTAGTATTTTCTCGAACATGATCAGCTAAACTATAGACTCTGTACTTAAACATACCTTTGTATGCTAACTCTGTAATATGAATTTTGAAATAATGCACATGGAAAGTGAATACCATTCAAAGTCCCACAAATGAGAATATTCTATGTTGTTAAGATACCTACTCTGGTAATCACGTTACTTGACAACCGACTGTTGTGTTATATTTCCAAAATAAAGCTCCGTTATCTCTGCCCATAAACTTGGTAATTTCTATTAACACTCATATATAACTTGCATTTCAAATTCGAGCACACAAAACTGTATATAGGTAGGTACTGAGTTACAGTATATTCGCTCTACAAACCACATTTGTGTCTTTTTACTAAAACATTTGATATTCGCATTTCTATTTAGTCGTATATAAGCTCCATTAAATAGTCTAAAGCGATAAATAATTACTGTATCAATTAGGAGTAATTATTTTACCAGATTGCTAATTTAACTAAAGTTGATTCAGTGATTGTAAAGATAATTATGAAATAAATTAAGAGTTCAGTATTCAAGTAATTACATTAACACTGTTGGATGCCAGCTCAGTGATCTAGAGGTTAAGTACTCGCCCACGAGACTAGTAGGTCCTGGGTTCCAATCTCGCGAGGCGGGATCATGGATGCGCACTGCTGAGGAGTTCCATGATAGGACGAAACGGCCATCCAGTGCTCCCAAGTTTTTCATGATAGTCTAGCTTCAATTGATTCATGATTTCAAGTATATATAATAATTACAATTTATTCAAATGTTAATATTCAATAAGTGTTTTCTCGAATATTTTCAGTAAGTTTATCATATAAAACGGTTATATCATTCATAATTTAAGGAGTTTGTATGTTTTGACCGTCTTTCAACGGAACGGAATAAAAAAATGAAAATATGAAAATAATTTACTTCCAAGAATAGTTCATTTGAAGAACTGAGATATTAGTTTTATGATCATTGATAGTTTTTCCAGATCAAAAATGTTTTGTAAACATTTTACACCATTTGTAATCGTATATTATTTACTAACATAGTTAAAGATTCATGAAACAAATGGAGTTTTAAAGTTTTCTGATAAATTCTCAGTTCTTATAGAAGAAATTTTGAATATAAGCAAAGATGGATAGTGACTAGCAGTGTAATCCAGAACGCGCGTTTTTTCCTATTTGGGACTCCTCAGCTGGATGTACCTGCATCCTAGAGTTGATGTTCACTCTGGGACTCGAACCCAGTACCGTCGGCTTCAAACGCCATCGCGTTATCCACTTGGCCATAATAATATATTTTTAATATCCAAATGAATAGAAAAATTAGATTTTCCAGCGTTTCGGACTCAGTATAAGCCACTTCTTCAGTAAGTGAACAACCAAATTAAGAATAACCTAAATTTGTATGGCACAAAGGAACAAAGCAAGAATATTGGATGCGATCAATCAAAAACAGGTCTGAACATATCAATGTCATGCCATTTCGGTCAGGGTGATTTATATGCTACATGTATGGAAATTTGTGTGTGTGTATGATCAGGGATTAAAAAAATGTGGTATTTGTGGTGAGAAACAACTGAGTTCGATTTGTATGTACGATAATAGTGTGAAATATGAATGATACCAGACATGGTAGCTTGGATAGATAGTCCAAGTCGGATAGATAGTGAAGCCTTCTTTTTTATTGAGAGCAGTAGGATTAGTCATTATATGGAGAGCTGCTCTCCTTTCTTTGTCGTTGGAAAAGTCGTTTTGTATCATTTGATGTTTTTGGTATCGATTTGATGGTTGCTGAAATTAGTTTAAACTGCTATTGTAGATTTAATTTTAAGTCTATCCAGTTCCACGGGATTATTAGGTGGTTTCTTTGTGTACCTGATATATTCTTTGGCTCAAGTCAAGATTTTGCGTGATGACTCTCCAATATAGAAGGCATCGCAATCGACGTATCCTAATTTGTAGATATAGTTCTGTGTTGGCATAAAAGGGATTTCTTTTTTGGGGCAAACTATTTTGAAGAATGTTCGTTGTTTTGTAATATACTTTAATCGTGTTGTTTTAAAATTTTACATTTTGAGTATTGAAATTATGAAGTATGCAATAACTACTAAATCATGTTCTCACTTCTTTTCTCCTCTAAATCTATCCATCATTTGTGATGTGTACTATATAGGTTTGGATGTGTGGTGGTATTTTAGAAACTGTAGTCTGCAGTCTTGTTGGACATATTTTTCGTGGTCGTTCACCATACAAATGGAATGTTAATGTAAAAGATCCTCTGAAAAGAAATCTACTACGTTTGGCTGATGTTTGGCTTGATGATTATAAACGATTTTATTATGCGCGTATTGGATTTAAAACTGTAAGTCTACTACACTTATATTGTATTGGCTTTTTATTAAATGTATATAACTTATTATACTCAGGGATATATTACTTGCACAATAAGTTCAGACTAACCTCCTAAGCTCAGTGGTTTATCGGTTAAGTGCTCTGGCGTGAGACTGGTAGGTCCTGGGTCCGAATCTCGGAAGGCGGGATCGTGGATGAACACTGCTGAGGAGTCCCATAAAACAACGTGTCGAATAAATATTCAGTTAGAGGAACAAAACCTTTGTTATAACATGTTTCCTTTTGCGAACAAAATTGACATTTACTCTAAAAATATCTTTCTTCTCATGTTGATATCAGTTATAATGTGTTTTGGATTTATAATTCTCTATATAGTTGTCTTCATTCATACATAGTAATGAATGACGATTCCGTCTTAACAATAACATTGACACTTATGTTGACTTGAGGAATTTAAAAGGGTTATGATAAGTAGGTTCACCAAGCCACCTAAAATTAAACATAATCTTTTTCTTATTATCGTGTAAGGGTTCGAGCCATTTCATTGTAGATATTACCGGCTGACCTTCGATTATTTTTGTTGACATTTGTATATCGTGTGTGGATTATTGACTGAACCGTTGAAAAGCGCTCACTATATCCTTTTTACAATCAAAATCCATCTTTTCTAAATACTGATGCTTATTTTCTAAAACTATTCAATAGGTTCTATCGATTATGTCTTTTTCGGTGTGCACATAAATCTTTAGACTAAAATACTTTCATAAAAAGAGATGGATAGTGGCTAACAGTGGAATTTAGGACGCGCGTTTCGTCCTATTTTAGAATACGTCAGCTGGATGAACCTTCATCTCAGAGTTGATGTTCACTCCGCTACTCAAATAGAGTAGCGTTCGCTTTAAACCCTAATTTTGTATTGGCTGTTTGAATTTTCATATTGATAAATAAATAATATATTTGTAATATCCCAATGAGTGGAAAAATTAGATTTTCTGACGTTTCGTGACTCAGTGTTAGCCACTTCTTCAGAGAACAAATAATGGCGTTTAGAACTGCAATTAATCAGTCACTTATTGGCATATGTACAACCTGTGCGGTTGCCTCGATATTGCTTGAATTCACAAGCATTTTAGGCAGAGAGGTGAATTTGTTTTCATTTCAAAACCAATAAAACTCAATTTTTAGCATGTTTGTAATAGTGTGTGTATTGTATAAGGTTATTTATTAGTATTTTTGATCTGGTCGAGAATTAGAGTTGCAGCATTCATTTCAGAGTACACGTTGGATTCATAAGTGTTTTTATGCTCTTTTTAAAATAAAATACAGTAATTTTCAGGTTTATACGTAAACAAACTGTGTTTTTTGTTCTATGAGGTACAATTAACTTTTAGCGAATAATTGCGTAATGAAATGTTTTTTTCCTTTCTGTATGTACTCTGATTTAGATTGATTTTGGGGATGTTTCAGAACGCAAAGCCTTACGAGAAAAACTGAAATGTCGCTCATTTGATTGGTATTTAACTAATATTTATCCTGAATTATTTATTCCTTCGAAAGCTTTAGCTTCTGGTGATGTAAGTTACATTGTGTTGTACAGTTTTTGTTTTCCATCAAAATTAATGTTTAATCATAAATTATTCCCAAAGTTATGTTTGTAGTTTGTTTTATATTATTATAAATGATCAACTACTGAGTAGTGACCGATCTCATTTATGCCGCATCCTTCTGAGTGCTAACTGAACTATATCAACCATTTTGTAGTTCGGTCACTAGTCAAAATAACTCGACGTTGCGTTTGCCATGATGGAATGTTAGGTGGTTGAACATAAAAGGAAAACCTGAACGAAGGGTTCGCGCTAGTTGGCTATGCTTATGTAGGCGTACCTGTAATGTAGATGTAACTAACGCTCGCTCATTCGTCTTTACAGTTTTAGACGTTGCTTATGTGTATGGATAAAATGGGTATTTTGACCAGAATAGATAACAGATATTGATTGAAGCGAACGGTACTGGGTTGGAGTCCCGGAGTGAACATCAACTCTGTGATTCAGGTACATCCAGCTGACGAATTCCATATAGGACGAAACGCGCGTCCTCAATTCAACTGCTAGCCACCATCCACCATTGCTTATAAAGCTTGTGACTTAAGGCAACATCAAGGCAGTGCGCACTGGATGCACATAGGCCAACAAGAAACTGATCAGTCGCAGACCTTATTAACAATAGGAAGATACGAACAAATAATACCAGGTGAACTTAATTATGAAGATTCCATGTTTTAAAGTACGAACATAGGGAAGTTAATGAAAATTCATGTTTTCAAAGATGATATGATGCTAGTCAAAATGAGTAATCACGGTTACATGTACGGGTCTTTTATTTGGCTACAAACAATGATTAGTACATTATTCTATATAATTATTCTGATTACAGTTTAATTTACCTCTGTTGTACTAATATCATCCTGTTTAATGTACAACATTTTCTTAATATTTATTCAACTAACTTTGATTTCATCACTTATTAGACAGAGGTTTCAATGAAATCCATCTGATAAATGGTTTATTTGTTCAAAAAATATTTATAGCCTTGTTTTATCATATTTGAACTTACTTACTTACTTACTTACGCCTGTTACTCCCAATGGAGCACAAGCCGCCGACCAGCAATCTCCAACCCACTCTGTCCTGGGCCTTTCTTTCTAGTTCTATCCAGTTTTTGTTCATTCTTCTCATGTCTGTCTCCATTTCTCGGCGTAATGTGTTCTTTGGTCTTCCTTTTCTCTTTTGGTCTTCAGGATTCCATGTGAGGGCTTGTCATGTGACGCAGTTGGGTGATTTCTTCAATGTGTGTCCTATCATATTATATTTGAACTACATTTTCTTTTCTGTTTTACATTTATCCGGATAAGAAATTTAGCACTTTTTTATGGTCTACGAATTCTGAAGCTTTTTCGAATCAATACTCCAGTTCATATTGTTCAAAATGTCTTCTGTTACCTTTGTTTATATATTTCAGTCCATCATCCATGAATAATTTCCCTTAACCATAATATCGGACATTTTCAATGATATATTCTGTCATGTTTATTTGGATTGCCTTATTGGTGACCTTATAAGAATTGAGAAACACACTTCTTTGGAAATGTCATTATGCTATATTGAAATGTTATTTCGACATGAAAATTTGTTTCTTTTGTTTTAGACAAACAGTAAGCATAGTATGAACGTGGAAAAGCAGAATATGAATAAAACTGAGAAACTATTTTCATAGATAATACTTTTGATATGATGATCCATCCTTTTCTACTGTGGTCGCGGCGGATGCATTAAATTTTGAAATTAGAAGAGTGATTTCACATATCTAACCCGATGGATCTGAGAAAGCCATATCAAGTACAGCTAGATCGTTAACTACAGCAGATCGTAACTACAGTTAGATAGAGGAGAAAGTTATAAAGACGTTTCACAAGATGATATTTGGACGTCAGTTAAGCTATTAACTGTTGCTGATCATATTTGGGTCTAATAAAGTGCTTCCGGTCTATACAGCAAACAGACTGCAACGATTGGGAACTATAGTCTTCGATTACGACTTCAATATTAAATACCAGCCCACTACTGATTTTCGATAAACTGATGCCTTGTATAGACCTGTTTGGTTCACAAGTGAAAAGTGAAGATGATACTTTGGTGTCAACAATTGAGACGAAAACAGAATTACACCGAGTACTGGAAGACTCTATCGATGGTTACTCATGGTTACAAGTGGAAGGGACATTAAACTATTCATGTCAGATATTATTTGAAAAGTACATGTTCTGTTTCAATGGTTCAACTACTTCACTCCCTATCCTTAGTTCAGGTGTTGACGCAGGCCAGTGCTCAAGCAACAATTCGCATTTAGAGAAGGAGAAATGCATATCAAATATCCTGACATTGTTGAGCAGTGCTACCAAAAGACTGAACTTTATTAGCGTCTTCACCAAACAGGACTATGTCATCTGCGTATTCCAAGTCAATGGATGGACTTCTTGCGAAGGGATCAATTCCCGAGAATTCAGTCGACGAGAAAGATATTTCCAGCATCATTTGAACGAATATTGAATAAATCTAAATTAATAAAGATATATTCCTTGGTAGTTTTCATCTTGTTTAACAAATATATATATATATATATATATATATATATATATATATATATATATAGCGTACTTGTTGATTAGTTGATTCATCGATATTTCTGACATTGTAGATTGAAAGTGCTGCTGGTCCACATTGTTTAGATTCACCGACTCCTCGTAATGGAGATAAAAAACGAACTGTTATCAAAATATGGCCATGTCATAAACAAGGTGGCAATCAAGTAAGTTAATCGATTGATTATTGATAGCTATGTTGAATGATGAAATAGGGATGACATAAACATCAATAATAGTTTATAGTACAACATAGAGTACTGTGAATATTATTACACTTGATGTATCTTATTAATAAAACTTGTAAACTCCTAATGACTGAGACATATGTTAGTCATTCATGAACACCATCTACGACAATATTTTACTCTGAATAGTATGATTTCGGACTCCAGAAATAACTACAGTCAGTAAGATGTAGATAGGATATAAACAGAATTGATCGTTTATCTCCTATCTATCACTTGAAGGTTTATCAAATGCTTAAGGTTACATGACATAATAGTAGAATATTCGGTACAGTTGCATTCATCCTTTATACTTATTATAAATATTATTTTTATTTTTCGATTGTATTCGTTCATTTTGATACATATTTTATACGTTTAGTATGCTATTAGTGTTGATTTTGCCAGTGTTGCTTTGGTTCCTATAAATTCTCTTACTTGATGTGAGAGATATACACATTTTAATGATATTAGTGAAATAATTGTTACAATTGATTGATCACTGGGTGGTAATCAATGTTATGTATGTCAGGTCCTTCTTAGTGCAGATCGAATCCTATCGATCAAGTTACAATGGGGCCACAATTACACTAGTAAATCCTAATGCTTTACCTTAGCTCCTATTTTGTTTAGATATATAAAATACTTAGCAGATTAGTAATAGTTAACTTAAAAGAAGGTTTTGCTTACTGTCGCATTTACACATATGTATAGTACTTTCGAGACTAGAAACTAACCTTCATAATTTTTACACTTGAAGAAAACTATGAAGGCAAAAACTGTATACTTATTTTCAAGTTGACGAATACTTAACTTGAGAAACGTAATACGGATATTTATTAATTTACGTTGCCCCAAAATGAATCACATAATTGTAATTAATGTAAACGATTTCTACCGGTTGAATTTTCCCTTGAAGTTATGTGGTGACCTGTGCCAATTAAATTTTATCTTTCTTTTTCCATAATATCAAGTTAAAAATATAACCTAGGAAGACTTCTTTTAGTTAAGATAGTATCTCCTACATTGAAAAACATTATCAAAAACTGAAGTAAAATCGTCATTAGATACTGTTCTAATTCTTGTCTGATAACATCTCAAACTACCATCTATAGTACCCCAACCAGTGGGTTGTGATTTTTTGATAGGTGTCAATCCTTACCAGACTTTCTAACACTCCATCACCTTGTGAACCGACCACTCCTACACTTTTCACATCCCGTCCCAGCGTAGGCAAATATGATTTGGTGTGGAAGCCAATGGCATGATGCTTACGACATAAATCCAAGCTACTGAGGTCAGTGTTTCAAGATGATGGCGTCAAATGAGTTATTGTTTCTGTACTCGAACACACTGCTAAACGTCAGAGTTACTGACATGGTGTTCCTGCTGAAATCATTATCCGTTTGAGAACAACTATGATTAAACCTAGAGTAGTCGCCAAAGATCCTCAACTCTAAGGGGTCAGGTTTTACAGGCATAGAGTAGAACTACTATCAGCGACACGTTATGAACCCTATCTTATGCAGAAAAACTAACGTGAAGTCAGAATCAAAGACCCACAGCTTAGAAAATGAGTCTTCCACCTTCACTCACACAACTACTCAAGTGCATAAACTTTTCGACTACTACTAATGGTTCATCACGTACAGTGGGTGCCAACAAAGGCTTCTCCCAGTTTGAAATATTGAACATGATAGGAGGTGTAGCTATGGATACTGATTGTCAACTGGTTAATTTAGGATTGGTTATATCATGCGCATACTCAGGACCAAATAATTGTTCTCAAAGTAAATGATCCACATCATTGCTGCTTGCTTTCACTAGACCTGGTTTCCAGAATGTCACAACTAATATGCTCAGCTAGCGAAATAATTTAGTTGTTGTAATTGAAAAAAATTTTAGTTAAGAAGGTGAATAAATAAACAAGCAATTTGTCCTTTGAATTTTAGACTAATTTGTTTTCTGTTTTGTGTAATTTCTCTCTAGTTTTGGTTACTATCACCTAACAATGAAATTCGACGTGATGAATATTGTTTTGATTCTGGCATGAAAAACCATACCATTGGTTTGTATCGTTGTCATGGTGCGAAGGGTAATCAAAAGTTTACTTATGGCGAAGTACGTTCTTCTTCTTATTTGTAGTAAATATTATTTCCATTTGTAAAAATGTCATATTAATTATAGATAAATTTACTAGAGAAGAATATGTCTAATTGTTTCGTTTAGACTCAATTGGCCCTAACATTTGATGAAATCTCCTTACCATGACCCATTAATGGGTCATACTATACCGTCTTCAACTAATACAAATAACCATAGAATAACCTATTCACATGACCATTACAAGTTCCTCATGAAGCATAGATAAGAATTTATGACTCAATTCTTCTAACCACCATTTGCAGGATTTCAGATGCAGATGACAATCAACAGTATTTTCTACTGTTAAGCGATCGCGCGCGAGACAAAGGTTCTGGGTTTGAGTCATATGCGTGGGATCGTAGATTCACACTGCTGAGGAATCCCATACTAGAACGAAACAATCATTCAGTGCTTTGAAGATTTCATTGGTGATGTTTATCTTAAATCGACACATGAATTCAGCCATTACATTTACTTGATTTCTGTGGATAACGGTCAGTGTAGCACTAGTCGATGAGTTGAATTAATTGATCCAACTGTATGTTACTGTTGCGTGAAATAGTTTCAGTTTATTCTTGTCTATAAATATGACTTGGTGATAAGTACCAGAAAATTCAAATTTTTCAACAGAGTGTGCTAATATATCAAACTTGTGAACTGAGCTCTAAAGCTTATAGTTATCGTTTGATCTCAAGTAAAGATTAGACAACATAGAGTGGTGTATGCTACTTATGTTGACAAATATAAGTAGTATGTAACACCGATCAAAAATGGAATTCTTGTTCATTACAGCAGTATACTACTTATTTTCTAATGATGACCAATTGTTTTGTAGTGGTTTCTTTTGAGTTTTGAAATAAATATCCAGTGACATGGTTCGGAATCGGTGTCTCTTGCCTTTAGTTATTTATTCTTTACCTGATGTATATATTTTGTCTCACGTAATTTTAATGTATGTAAGGAATTGGTAGGCGTATTTATGTTTTAAAAATCAAAGTTGCATTGGTAATGTTACTTTTGCTTTATCAAATCATTCACTTATTTCGGACAGTTTTCACAACCTTTGATTATTTTCATTATCATGGATATTTTAACCGGTTGGTTTTGTTTTTTTCATCTGTCCTACATCCTTTTTGCTGATTGAATCACTTCGTTTACTAATCAAGGTTCTATTTTGTTTATTATTACCTATTTAAAATTATCCGAAATTTAAAAACCGTTTTCTGCAGATGTTTAGTTACAGTTATTATAATTCAAATAAAGGTAAAACCAACAATTTGTTTAATAAAAGAATAAATAACAAATCCAGGAGTTCTAGTGAGAAGCAGTGACCAGTGGACTTCAAACCACGTCTGTTGTGAGATATTAACTCACTGAAGACAATTGGTGAACGGTTGCTCAACGTCGTGGATCAGTTGAAGTTAGACATTAACAACGTTGGATGCCGGCTCAGTGGTCTGGCGCGAGACTGGTAGGTCCTGTGTTCGAATCTCGCGAGTGCGTGATCGTGGATGAGCACTGCTGAGGAATCCCATAATAGGACGAAACAACCGTACAGTGTTTCCAGGTTTTCTTTGGTGGTCTAGCTTCAATTGAATCATGAATTCAACTGTCAATAAATGTTTCTTAAACTACTTTCTTTTTTTTACAGGATGATACTATTCGTCATCAGGGACAGTGTTTAGAGATCAATATTGACCAATCCAGTGTTCACCTTACTACATGTACTGGATCATTAAAACAACAATGGAAATTTAATCGTAAACCGTATATGCCAACCGCTAACGATTTTAATCGATTTTAATATTAACTTGAATAGATTGGAATAATTACAAATCTCTTATTTGTCTTATTTCCTATTCAACTACTTAATGTGTATATATCTATTAAATATGTATTTGTACTAACAAGAGAAAAACAACAACACCACCAACAACAATGTCTTTCCTTCGATGTAGAATCGGAATAGAGAAGAAAGTACACAAATATTGTATTATGCTATCAATTTCTTTTTCTTTTTTTTGTGTGTGTTTTCAAGATCCGTATCTATATACATATGTAAACAAACGATGTGTAAATTGGTCAAGCCTAGTGATAACATATCATTCTTATTATCTGTGATAACAGTTACGTAATATAAATAGGTGAAAATCTACAATCATTATATAAAAAAAAAACAAAAAAAAAATTAGATAACCAATATGAGTTCAATTTTGTGCCTTTCTCATGGTGTTTATGGTTAATATTTTTCATTACCAACAAAATATGTAATTCAATGTATGAATAATAAAAAAAACAAAACAATGCTCAATATATATTTTCTTTACTTAATTATTTACCCCCCCCCTCAACTTTATGGTTGTTATACTAATAGAATGATGGTTTGTATTTAAAAAGTATATTTTAGTCTATTTTTTTTTCCATTATGAAATTCTTTTTTTTGTTTTGTTGAACAACATTGTGTTTTTTTCTTCTTCTTCTCATTCTATGAATTATGAGGTTATTGCATAATCATCTTTCTTGTCCATACTCGGCTTTCTTGTCCATATATAGACATATATGTACATGAAGGAATGATTGTGTTAACCTTGTTCTTGTTTTATGTAATAAAAAAATAATAATAATTTACTTCATTTTTTTAAAAAAAAAATTCTTTATTCATTCAAACAAATTGTATGTAAGTGCCTATTAAGAACATTGAAATGTGAATTTCAATGGATGATAATCATTAGTTCTTTTGATGATATTTTATAAACTTCTCTAGAGTAATAAATATATCGTTATGTAACAAAATGTGAAGATGATCTTAAGTTTGTTTTTGTTTTGTTTTTTTTTTTTTTTTTTTTTACATATTTCTATTTCTGTCGAATTAAATATTTTATAAATTGACCTTTTTTTGAAGATTTTTCTAATTGAACAAAGGTGCATTCGATAGATTGATGTAGTTACATGATTGTCAGATCGGTTTTTGCTTCATACTAATGATTTAGTCTTCTCACACACGTAAGTTACTAGTTTTTGACCATAGATGCTTTAGAAATATTGTTCTCATCTGCTGGGATAACCGGGTAAGTAATAGTCAAGTTAGACACAGGATATTAGGAAATGATGATAAAGCAGTTGATGAGGTCATGAATCTTCATCTACTGAGATGGTTAGGCCACGTGTTGTTACGTATGCCTAAACACCTATTACCAAGACGCGCAATGCTGACTAGTGTAGGGGATAGTTGGAAAAGAGTTAGGGGCAGCCAAACCAAAACGTGGCATCAGTGCTTGAAATCATTGACTTCTAATCTGAGCCATGTTGGCAGATGTAGACTACTTGGTTGGGGTCCGCATGACTATTGTAACCAATGGTTGGAGACTCTAGGTGACATGGCTCAGAATCGATCATAATGGAGTAGGTGTATACACTCTTGATCTTCCCTTAAACCTTAAGATTGAAATTGCTTCATAACGTTCTTCCTTCCTATTCTATATCCTTATATACAACCTATCTTTTATATACTACCACCACTAAATTAACTATTTCTATGAATCCAGTGTTGATCTTGTTGTATTAACGAGGTATAGCAACGTGGACCGATGCATAAATGTGCCTGGTCCTACATTGTAGCTGACTGACTGACACTGTTTACAGGTATACATCAAATTGAAGTAGATTTATTAGGACAATATCATATACTCGTTTACTTAGAGAAATTGACCATGAAGTTCTAACCGATATTATATTTCTTAAGTTTTTAATGCTGATCGAATCCTACCGATCAAGTTACGATGTGGCCACTAGTCAAGGTAAATCAACGTCATGTGCTCCTTATTTGATGCTAGGTGATTGGAAGTGGTCTTCCAAAACATCTTGTTTTCGTACTAGCCATATATATATATATGTAGAGAGAGAGACTAGGAAGTAACTAAATCGACCTTAGCTCTGTAATACCCGGTTCATGACAGGTGAGCCACCATACGGCAGATTAAAATTCATGGTATTTCTCGATCTTCTTCAAGAGGAAGTTCAGGATTTATCATACTTCAAATATAACTACTTCAGTATCGAGTTACTAGGATCTTCTATATGTTGAAAATGCAAAATGACAGTACAGTTATCATACTGACTAAAATAACGATAAATTAACGTGGTAACAGCAAAGTTGAAAAGAGAATCCATTGGAAATACTCTGTGCCTGAATAGGTTGTGCGATTAGTAGACATATTGATGTATTACAAAGATAAATTAGATAACTTGTTGAAATATGAAGATAGCAGGAACTGGCAGCCCAGATGTGTAAACAGTCTGCCAACTATACGAGGCTTGAAAGAATGGGTTTTTCAGTATATTATGGGCCCGGAAACTTAGTGAGATTGATATAATTATTCCACAACACTAAACTAATTCCTACAAATAATTAAATGTTAGATTTATTCAACTCTTCATGATCACTAATAACCAGTATTGATGTATGAATAGTGGATTGTACAGTCGGGAATTGATGCAAATCATACACTCTGTATTAAGTAATGAGAAGTGCCTTACCATTATTGTTGGTATGCCAGGATTAGGAATGTGTTGTTATCTTTCCATTATTTTGTTATACTTTCTCTGCACTTTGTCAGTTCTGTCTAGACGCTCTGTGTATGTAGTGGCTGATTAATTGTAGTTCTTTCAACCGTTGATTGAGGACGATGGTTACTTCATAATAAAAGAACCATTTTGCTAATTATTTAGGTACAAGAAAATGTCAAGTCTTCACTTTGATTCATTTTTATCTCGGATATCCATGTTCTGAAAAAATTCCGAAATGTGTTTTAATTTATCATTACAGGAATCTTTGATTGACGGCGGTACCAGTTAATGTAAAAGCATGCTATTTGAGCACATAGGAATTAACAATACTTTCAACTACACAGTTTTTTTTCAATTTGATAGTCAACTATTTTGAACTTTGTATAGTGTGAAGTTAATGGTGCTATATCCATTTTAAAGTCCCGAAGATTTTAAAGAACTATTGGAGTACACAACTGTTATGCAATAGCATACTTATTGAGGAATTCACAAGGATGTTAACTAAGGGGACGTCATTTGTTGACTGTTAAGTAGATAAATACTTAGTATAAAAATGAAGCTAATAGAAAAATCTGTAAAATGGATTTCTAGAAAGCGATATGTGTAATTAATTTTTAAACATCTACTTAGTTTCTGAATATGTTCTTTTCAGTGCAGCATGTTGTCTAGACTTATTCCTGTGGGCTGTTCCATCACATTTTGAGGATAGATCTCAGAAATATCAATCATTGTACGAGTGTTATGGTTTAGGATAAGATATCGACGTCCAATTACATATCGCCAAGTTGTTGAATAAGATTACCGATTAGGTAGATTCATGTTGCAATGTAACCTGAATTATCTTGATAAAAAATTGTTTCACATGTTGGGTAAGTCAAAACAAGAAGATAATGACTTAGAAAGAATGAAAAGTTCTTTGCTGATGCCTTTCATTAATGTAATATCTGTGAGAAATATACTACCTAATGAATTTTTGAGTTAGACAACTTAAGACAGTCTTATGTCACATATCTGTTCCCTACACTTATTATTACTATCTATATGAAAATGATCATACTTGTAAACTGGCATGAATTCTGTAATTTTTATATTCAAAATATATTATTATTACAAACCAATCAATAATTTTCCATCATAATTTTTGACTGGCTAAAACTTCTACCCGAACTTTGTGCTGATGATGTCGTTCAGAAAAAAAGGTGAAAGCTCCACGACCAAACCATTCAGCTCAGAGAACAAAACTCCATCAAAATCATCCACCTGAGCTACAAATCTTTACAAATGGCAACCAATGCTCATCTACACTTTTCGGTGGATTCGTAGCTAGCTGTGAACCTAGCTCGGTTTGATATTTAGTTGCAACAGAAGCGGCGGCCAGTTTGCTTAGATTGATCTGTTAAGGGTGACAAATTTGTTGGTCTCTAAAGCGTACGAAAAAACTAGCGCCAAAAAAACGGCATTTTAATACATCATTATGTCTACTAATCGCACAACCTATTCAGGCGCGTTTCTGAAAAGTGTACAACCTTCGTTGTACAAGTTACGAAAAGCACAAGCAGAGATATCGTGGTTGCTGGCAATATACAACGGAAAGAATGTACATTATTTAGATGTCGGTTTACTGGACTGCTAACATATAACTGGCGATTGCTCTATTATTGAAACATAACTAAGAATAAAAGACAGTGGCGTAACGTCTACAACTTTCTCCTTAGAAATGAGAGGAACTTCTAAAACTGAAAGAATCTTATCTACTTATATTCGTTTTAGTTGGCCTGTTACCATTACTTCACTCATTTTTTGTTTTGTTGTTCTCACTTTCGTTTCCCTAACCTTTTACAATATTATTGTTTTTGGGTGGCACACATAGATTATAATACCTTTTTGTTTAATCGTTTGTGTTTACATAAATAAATAAGGCGTAAATTAAGATCCTGCTGTAACTCTCTTCTACTTTCTTCATAAAAATGAGGTCAACTTCTTGAACTGAATGAATTCCCTCTGGTTGTGTTTTACCTAACTGAACTGCTTCTCCCAATATTATTATTATTATTACTAATCTTTTTATTGACAAGAATAACTTTAAGGTGACTAAATTATTCCAATATTTTCATAGTATTGATTTGTTATTTTGCCTGAAAAAATAATTAGATTACCTGAATTTGTTTTTTTGACGGATAGAGGTAGATATCAAATATCGTTAGTTAAAATCATTTAGTATTTTTTGTTTGAACCTTCCCATTGATGTTTTTGGACTGCAACTGATCAGTCTCTAATTGGCATATATGTATACTGTGCGTATTGCCTCTATATAGCTTTAATTCACAAGCATTGTAAGCAAAGATGGTGGTAATTTTGCAAACGGCAAAGAATCCATAAATGGCTCTGTTTCTAGAGTTATATGCATGAATGGTAACTCAATTAAATCTATCTTCTTCACATGTCTGAAAATTAGTAAGGTTATAAATAACCTCAAGGTTACGAAGGGTTACGGAGCAGACGGGATTCCATCATTTCTCTACAGATATGGTGGTCTTGATATTCCACTTCTTCTCCTTAAGCTGTTTACTCTCTCTATGGAATCAGGCTCTTATCCTGAC